TATATATGTCAAAAAAACAGAAAGTGCCTATGTGTCAAAAGTTTTTTTTTTGAATATTTTTGGTATAACAAAGCATAGAATATCTTACGTTATGAAAAGATTTTACTACACAGGTGATATTTTTGAAAATCGCGGGGGAGGATCGGAAACGAGTCAAATTTTCCGAACAGAAACAGTCCATCCATCGGTTTATTGAAGTTTAATGTTTGTCAACGGCAGAAAACCATTTCAATGATTGACCCAAAACCTAACCCAAAAATTGTAGCCGTAAATAAAAATAAATTGAGAGATGTCAAAAAACTTCTCACAAATCATTTTGGAGTTAATTGAGAAAATTTAACAGTTTTTAAAATATAAAAAGATTTGTTTGCTTCCCAAGAGGCACTTCAGTGCCTTTGGATGAAGTAGATGACCTTCGTGTTTAGATGACAAAATATTATCTAACCTTTAATAGTTACCTACAGTAATATAAAGTCATCTTCAATATCAGTGTTTTTGCATCCGATAAAGAAATTGACTATCCTTACTTACGTAATCTTGATTGATCTTAATAAACTTTGTAAAAACAGTAACAAATGTTATGATTTTGCTTAATCGACAACCCTATTCTAACGTTACATGAATTGGAAACAAAGGTGGCAATCTTTACGCCGCTTGGTATCAAAGCCGGAAATGTGTATTTAACTTGGGATCAAATCCGCGGTCATTTTAATTTGTTGGTATCAAAGTCAGCCAAAACGACACTTCAAATTTAAAAATTACATTAGTTTTCTACCTTTTATATGAAAATGTTATATAAAACACATAGGCTACGTCTAAAAATTATGTTAACAGTACAAAAATCAATTAAATACCCCACCCCGCAGCAAAGTGTTTTTTTCATTTTACCACAAATTGACTAAAAGTCGGATTGCCACCTTTGATCCTATATGACTCATATATGCTACTCAAATTTCCCCTGAAAACCACAATGAAGTCACTCATGCAGACATCCCAATATTTATTGGTGTACTGATTTATATGTCAGTTGTTCATCTGCCAAGTACAATGCATTACTGGAAGGATAGAACATATATAGAAAAAATGGCTTCAGTCATGACATGCAACAAGTTCGAAGAAATAAAACGGTATCTATATTTCTTTGACAAGAACGAAGAGTAGAAACCTGGAGATACTGATTTTGACAAACTTCAAAAAATACGGCCATTGTTAGATGTAATTCGAGAAAGATTACAAAAAGTGCCTAAGGAAGAATATCTTGCAATTGACGAGCAAATGATCCCGACCAAAGCTCGCACATCAGGTATTAGACAATACAATGCAAAAAAACCACACAAATGGGGCTATTTAAATTATGTTTTAAGTGGAGCCAGCGGGTTTAGTTACGATTTTGAATTGTTTGGGGGTAAGCATCCAGGACCTCCACAAAACTGTCCCGATCTTGGAGTCCCTGGAAACATTGTGCAAAGATTGTTACAGACGGTTCCTGAGAACTTAAACTACAAAATTTTTATTGACAATTGGTATACAAGTTTGAATTAATGGCCAATTTGCACAAAAAAGGGTTTCTCCCATTAGGAACTATACAATTGAATAGAGCCAAAAATATCGATGTGCAAAAAATTGATCTTATGAAACATAAAAGAGGACATTGCACAGAAAAATCTACCGTCATCGATGATGTCCAGATATCAGTATTAAATTGGGTGGACAACAAGGTAGTGAGCTTATGTTCCACGTATGTAGGAAAGGAGCCAATGGGGTCCGTGTCCAGATTCATAAAGCAAAGGAAGGTGAAAGCAGATATCCCATGTCCAAAAGCAATATCAATTTATAACAAATATATGGGCGGTGTTGACCTATTGGACTCGATGTTGGAGTTCTATAGAATTAAAATAAGGAGCAAAAAATGGTACCACAGGATATTTTTCCCAAGTGGAAAATATTAAGAAAAGACGAAGATTGGAACTATCACCAATAGAAGTAGCAGAAGATGGCTTTAATCACTGGCCACAATGGAAAAATGATCTCAATTTAAAGGATGCGTCCAAAAATCACAAATAATGTGCAGTAAATGTATGTGTTACTTGTGTTTTAACAAAGATCGCAACTGTTTCACATTATTTCATAAGTAAAAGATATAATTGAAAAAATAATTGATAAAAGTTACATATAAATTTTTTATTTTATGTTTACTTCATGATGTTCCTAAAATGGAACATTCAATATTGCATGCCTGAATGCATGATGTTCCAAATTTGGAACAAAGACTTTCCCCCCTTAATTTTTCAATAATGCAATTTGGTTTTTTTTCTCTATTTTTTTGGTCTTCATTTAGGCCACTTTTCAACATATTTTTTTTCCAAGTGATTTAAAAAATCCATGCGGTAAAGCGTTAAGTTTCCGAATAAAATACACGTCAAACTCGTTTGTATATACGACCTTTGCCTGTCTTTAACTGACGAATCGTAACAACTACAACAACTAGTCAAGTAAGTTTTGAATTGTGTATGATAATTTTTTTCAGACTTTGATAGGCTAAATTATTTTATTGATATCTGTAATGGTGACTTAAGTAGACGCTTAATAATTCTATAAACAATTTGCCAGAACAACTAGTCAATTTAGTTTTAAATTAGGTAAGATGACTTTTTTCCAGACTTCGATAGGCCATAAGCTTGATTAGATAACACAAAGTAAATTATTTTATCGATATCTGTAATGGTGACTTAAGTAGACGCTTAATAATTCCATCACATATTATTTCGCCATTGTCCTTTAAAATTGCTAATTCATTTAGAAGTGGCCTATGCTTTTAATGAGTAAGTCAGTAAGACAGTAAGTGATAAAAAAAGCTTCTTTTTAGATCAGCAAAGATTTTAATAGATTTATTCATTGAAATTGGGATTCTAAAATACCTATGTGTAATAATATTCTAATGAGGGGTGTTGAGAGACATGCATGCAATTACAAATATGTCCATCGAATAGTTTCAAACTTTTTAGGGGGTCAAAAGAAGCTCGAAATGTTTTGTATAAATATTATACACGCTGCCAATGCGTCGCCCTATTCTCTTCCGTACTAGACTCACACTTGACTTGACTTTTTAAAAAAAATTATGTACTATTTATGCTGCCAAGCACTTGTTTTTTTTTTCGGTTTGAAGGTTAAAAGAGCCAGAATAATTATAGGCAATGAATCTGTGGCATTTTTTATTTAAAGTTGGTTGCAAGTGTAGTTGGTTTAACTTCAATATCCACTTACTACTAAATAAGTTAGGTACTCTAATGTATAATTAAAGAAAATGATAAGCGAATGTTTAGTCGCAGTTCGATACGTAAAAACTTAGAAACCTCTGTCAAACTTGGATATAATTCCATTATAAAATTAATTAAGATATTAGATGTTCGCTTAAACAAAATTATAAAATATACAGAGCATGTAGTACCTAATAAGTGGCACTCACTTAAAAATCTCAACCGAGTTGGAATTTTAACATTTTTTTACAAAACATTACTTCAATTATTATTTTGCGACAATTATATACGCAATAAACGTTTTATTATTTCTGTTTAGCAGATGTCACTTATTAGTTGCACACACATAGCCTATCTTATAATTTAGTCTCAGCAGTTGCAGTATAAAATAAATATGTTAAAACACTAACTAAATCAGTCTATACAACGTCAAATTTACAAAAATAAACACTTATCTATAGAACACAGGTATATGCAGTACCGTAGTTAGTCTTCCTGTGGTCTCAGTATTTCGGTAAATTGCCTCCAGGAATGAAAGGCCAGCTACACAACTAGGTTTAAGTTATTGCTATGTTAAACTTATTCAAACTACACTGATTCCAGTATGATCCTAATTCTTTCCAAAAGCAAATATCTAATTGCACGCGTGTACATGATTTTTACAATGATGTCTTACATTACTTTATTCAAGCATCATTATTAGGCTTGTTTAAGCATTAATGGCTAGCACAATTAAAATATCTAACTATAAACGAAAAAAGAAGAGCTAGTGAAAGACTTTTATTGAATATTAATTTGTTTGTTTTTGTCTGTTTAGGATCCTAATATACGAATAAATCCTATACGGTAAACTTAGTCTTATATGTGGTAAAACATGCTGCAGTTATCTTGTATTTAGGTAGCATGAATGGGTTGACTCAACTGAAAATGACCATCCACTCACAGAATACCAGTGTAAACTAGCAGCTTAATGCTGCTGTTTTGTTTGTCAAGCGTAGAGAATTTCATCTTAAGTCAAAAATGGCAATGCATCTGCATTTTGATCCTTAATTAAAGCATAAAATAAATAATCTATGACTATATTGATTCCAACACTCTGGAGGTGATGTGATAATATTATCTTAATATAATTACTTTGTATCTTATTTTAAATGAAGCATTGTATGTTCTTATGTGAGAAATAAAATTCTTTAAACTTCAATATCCTTTTCTTTTCCTGAATTCTAGTTTAGCTCCTTTTTTATAGGATAGGGTGACAAACGAACACACAGTCCACCTGATGATAAGTGGTTGCTGCGGCCCATAGACATCTACATCTATCCTCGATTACAAATCAAAATGCAGATTCATTGTCATCCGTGAGGAATAAAATGGAATGCCTTGTTTCCAGTAAAAAGGTCTTCCGGTTCAGATTCAGTACAGTCACCATACGAAACACAGCAGCATTAAGCTACTATTTTACTCTAGTATTCTGTGAGAGCGTGGTCCTTCCCCGGTCAAGCCGACCCATTTGTGCTACAAATATACTATTATATAACTGCAGCATGGCTCTACCATGTATAAAGCTTAGTTTTAGGTTAACTCCTAAATTCAGTGTAGTGTAATAAGTCTTTTTCAAAAAAAATATTTATCTATAGTCACAATTAGTCTACCTGGGTCAAAATTGTCTTCATGTGTGAAGCATTCCGCTACTGGACTTGAGATGCGCATCGGGTGGGTCAGTTGGAAGTCAAGCAAGTGACGTCATTCAGTATGGCGGAGAGGAGCGGCTTGTCTTGTAGCGCGGCGACGAGCTCGGGCTCGTGCCAGTGCAGGCGCACGCGGCGCGCACGCCCCCGCGCCCGCGCCCGCCGCGCCGCACACCCGCAGCGCGCCGCGCGTCTCCAGCAGCGAGCACGCGCCCACCATCTCGCCTATGTCCATTGGTGCGATGTTGCGCGACGTCGCCACTCTGTCAACGTGTCATTTACATACACACCTACATATCGTATACATACAAATACTTATACTCTATGTCTTTATTATAATGAAATAAGAGTGACAAATGAGCATACAGTGCATTATATAATATTGTATGTCTGTTACGTATCATTTATAAATTGTAGATATATTATTTGGTACAACAATATTATGATGATTCTACGATAGTCACAAAACGCCAATTTGATGCAGTATTTCATCCAAAACTACTGTTCATTTTTTAAAACAATAAGGACTATTTTTTATATAATATAGCTAACAAACACACAGTCCAGCTGATGATAAGTGGATGATATGTCTATAGACTATCTTATTATGCCATTATGTCTATAGACTATCTTATTACTATCTTATTATATCCTCTATTAAGGCCGAATACGAAGAGAACTGGCGAAAATTAATGTATTTCTCTTGACTAGAACTTTGACCTGAAGTAATTCTAAGCTTTAAAACATTTTTGTTCAATCTTTTTTCTTCACAAGGTCACCGTCATTTTAAAATTTTAAAATAAATGAATATACCAACAAATAAAAAAATGTTAAGAAATGATATATAAAATTATTGTTCTTCCAAAACTCTGTGAATTTTAATTTAGAAAAATTCTTTTACGTAAAAATGTTTGTATTGTGATTCCGAAGGACCTGCTATCTTTATTTTCGATACAAAATATTATTTATTAACATAATTCGTTTTAATTAAAAACACCTAATAATAATATCGTATATTGCCAGATAAAAGTTTGCTGTAATAAATTACCAGGCGCTTCGACGTGTGACGTAAGATAACAACAGTCGATGTGTCTGTAGCGAAAATCGTTAATTTATTGTTTTATACGCGTTTAAGTGTCTATAAATGTAAATATGGGTAGGAAAAGAAATAAATGTTACCTAAGTGGTAAAACAAAGAGAGTTTACCGCATGAACGCTGCTCGAATGTTGTATTTTGAGCTTAATACTTATATTTTTGTAAGGTAATTTTTTGTTTGAGGCTGCCTAATAGGTTGCATTTTTACTCATTTACATTAGCCAAACTGATCATTTATACTTTTCTAGTTTCAAGTGAGAAACACTAAAAATGTAAAATATCAAGACCCAGTCGGAAAAGAATGTACAGAGTAGTGCAAGCACAGAGACCGTAAATAATGTCAGTCAATGTATTGTCCGAAAGCATGGGGTAAAAGTACATAATTAAGAAAAACCGAAATACTTCGGATGTGAAGTGATTGACCAGTCGGAGTAGTCTTGTGAGAATTTACATACACAGTACCTATCCCCACTATGGGGCAATCACCGACCTTTTTAGTTTTTTTTCTTTATTATTTATGCAATTTGCATTACGGCATCTTGTAAGACTCACAAGAACAAACATTTTCAGTTATATGAGGTTCTTAACGTACGATGCACCAATTAAGAAAAAAAATCGTTATCAATTCAATAACTTTTCGAACAATATTTTATAACGAATAAAGTACAGAATTTATAATCTATAGGAACTAATATTATAAATAAGAAAAATTTATTTAAGAAGTAAGCAATGCTCTCTGTGTTGTTCATTACTCTGCATCTGAGCTAGCTCCGTCAAATATAATCAAAGCCCGTACGGCTTTGATTATAGGTATTATACATGTCTATATAAACAAAGCGTAGGTACTGGCGGCGCGTGGTTTGCTGCGAAACGAGCAAGGTCATTCACATCGTATTCGGCCTTAAGAAACAAAATGCGGATGTGTTGTCACCCTTGAAGACTACCATGGAATCCCTTGTTTTCAGTAAAAAGTGTCTCCAGTTCTCTTCCCTAACCATATGAAACAGCAGCATTAAACTGATATTTTATGCTAGTATTATGTGAGAGCATGATCCTACCCCGATCGAGCCACCCATTTGTGCTACAGCTAATATAACTGCAATGAAGCTCTAACACATATAAAATAATATCAAAATAACTGTCTTATATTCGGCGAAGGGGGTTTATTTTACCATTTAGACACAAATATCAATTTTTTTAATCTTTGTATGTCTGCCTGACAACCCGGGCTAATCTACGGAATATCTAAATTGATTGTGATCAACTTCACGAAAGGATAAAAAGCAAAGCCAGAAGAGAGCTAAGCTATATTTTATCTAAAAACTTGAGGATTGTATTTTGCAAAATCGAAAAATTATAAAACAAATTGTCTTTGATATCGTAAATCTTAATGGCGTCCCATTAACAGATCCAACCCAGGCGAAGCCAGGGCGGCTAGTTAGTCTCTACATACAAATAACATTATAAAATAAATTGTCTTTGATATCGTAAATCAAAAAGTAGATATAGATTAGATAAGATTTGTGAGCCGTGGTAACTCAGATGGTTAACGCTCGCTGTAAATATCACAGTATGCGAGCAAACCGGGTTCGATCTCCGCCGGCACCAATGAAATTGTTAATTGCAATTTTGAGTGCTGTTTTACCACGTGATCGGCGGTGAAGGAAAACATCGTGAGGAAACCTGCATGTCTGAGAAATAAGAAATAAAAATATATTTCGAAGACATGTGAAGTTCGCTAACACGCATTGGGGCAGCGCGGCGGACACTTCCTTGTCCTAAAACCCTCTCAGAAATGAGGGGAGGCCTGTGCCTAGCAGTGGGACGCATATAGGCTGTAACTTTACCTTTACTTTTAGATATAGATTTTATTGTAAAAAATATTTACAAAGTAGTGAAGAATAGGTCCTAATTAAAAGAAACACACTTTATTATCATAAAAATTGAAACTAGCTACGTTACTAGCTAAAATCTATTTACAAAATAGTAAAACTGACAAAAATTTCAAATCTATTTTAGGACTATGAGCATTACAGAAAAATTAACTTACCTTTTGTATACGTCATGAAGTTTTCCCATCGTCAAATCCTTATTTTTCCCTTTCGTTAAAATTAACATTATGCTGCACAATATTAATTTCTGTTGCATGGGCAAGCCTTCCTCTAGATCGTTCTCTATCTTCCTGCCACCTCCATAAACATCATTTAAAACTTCTAACACTTGTTTCAGCTCTACAGTTACATTGGAATTCCGCATAATGGTTTCAACACATTGATTCTCTGCGAATTTGGTGCGTTTCGCAAGTTCAATAACCCTTTTACCAATGTCAAGTGCTCGTCTCATGTCTCCTGATACAGCAGCAATTTTAGCTGATGGTGCAAAGAGATGAAATTACTTTTATCAATAGGTACATATTACGAAACTCAAATACTTAAAATAACATTATTTAGTAATAAAAAATAAATCGAGAATGTAAATTTGACAGTTGAGCCACTGCACCGGGGAGCTTTAAATGCCACTCGCAACAAGTATTTGTATGGCTTACAAATTATTATTCTTGGTCTGGATGTTCATCCTTGTGCAATTTATTCTCCCGTATTGTAGGGGCAGTTTACATAAGTTTACCTACACCTATACGTTTACCTACGTTACAGGAGAAATTCTAGTGTGGGGTATGTCAGGGCTATTAGTTGAATGAGGTATTGTTGTCCAACCGAGCTCTTCCAGGATGGTGACCTTTTGCAGTTTTTCTCCGTAAATAGTTCCCAAATAGCATTGTCACTCCCAAAATACTGAAAGTAATGTTCTCAGTAAAAAAAAATTAATTTTTGACAACCAAAGCTAAATCATCAGGAACAAATTTAGATTTAGCTTTGGTTGTGTTGGTGGGCTTTGTATACGAGGAAATCAATGAGCCTCACGCATTCAGTTTACTAAGTGAACCCAAGATTTATTAACCATGATCATCTGCATCAGGAAGTCTTGTTTGCATAGTCAGACGACTTTCACAAATGGCTACACGCACTTGTAGGCTTGCTGTTAGTCAGAGTGTGGCGTCAATCTACTCCTTATTTTGAGTAACGTTAGTATGGTCGAACTGAAATGCCCGGTTCAATTTCCTGGTGACCTCATTTGGATGACAGAACAAGCAAAGAGTAGTAATGCAGCTATCATTTTCTCAGCTGTTTTCCTTGCATTCGTTGCTAATTTAAGCTCGGAAAGTCCCAAATTAATTTTGAACACAACACTTCCAATTATATGTCATTTGCCAAAATACGACTAGTAGCTCGGGTGATCCGAGGAATCACATTATAATCAAACATATATACATACATAGTTTGCTAAAAACATAACACTCCTTTTGGTTTTGCAGTTGTCGGGTAAAAATAAAACTTTAGGAAAGGTCATAAATATTAGGGAATATTGGCTTCTTATTGTTCTTCACATTTTTGTGAAAAAAATAACATTAGGAATATAAATATTATACATAATATGCAATAACAAGAAAATGTTATTGATTAAAACTACTTTTATGAATTTTATCGCGTATAATTTTAATTGGTTTTTAATTCCCGACGTTTCGGGTGCTATCCAGCACCCATGGTCACGGGGGACTGAGGTGACTGACGTCCCGATGTCAATGTTAGCCCGGAGTACCTTCAGCTTTTTAATTATTGTTTATGGTCCGATCTATGCAGAATGAACTCACTCTGTCTTGAAGTCTTACAGTGGTATGCTTGGGTTTAGTGTTAGTGTTACTAATTACAGGGTCCCGAGCAGATGGTAGTACCCAGCCTCCTTCTCTATTGAAATTAGGATATTTTTTAATTTCAATAGCCTCACATATCATCCTTGGTAGGAATCGATGTTCTTTCGCGAGGATTTGTGGTTTATCAAATCTGATGTAATGTTTGGGGCCGCCTAAGATATGATCACAAACTGCAGACTTCCCGGAACATTGATGCTTCACATCAGCTATATGTTCTTTTACGTGGGTTTTAATAGATCTTTTTGTTTGCCCTATGTATGAGAGACAACGGGTGCTGGAAAGCACCCGAAACGTCGGGAATAAAAATCAATTAAAATGAAAAGCGATAAAATCTGTAAAAGTAGTTTTAATCAATGTGTATAGTGTTCGCGTAAATATTAGAAATCATTAAGAAAATGTTAAATACCAACCTGCTAACATCTGCAACGCGACCGGCGAAAATACATGACTCTTATCTTCACTTTCAAGTACAGACACAAATATATCTATAATTTGTTGTTTCGTGTAAGGTGCGAAGTGAAGTGTTTGAGGCCGAAGAGAACATCGTGCTTGCAAACGCGGCAGAGTTCGCTCCGTCAAATCCAAAGCATTTGCGATTCCAATCAAGACAATACGTGAACTTAATAATGCAGGCCATTCGAATATTGTGTACAAAACTGATTGTCGCTTACTGTCCAGCTGATCGATCTCATCCAATACAAGTAATCTGGAAGATGATTGAAGGCATACATGAAGGAACGGAATATGAGCCATTGAAAGAAATAAAATGTTACACTAATGATACGTACAGTATGAGCGAGCAAAGATAAGAATTAATGAGGCATAGATGGCTATAGACAAATAAAACTTTGTGTATAATTTATTTTTTGGTATAAAACAGGACTTCCTATTTTATTACTATTCTCTCTCTATATATTAGACAAAACGGAAGAAAAGACGTAAGACCAAGGTGATCTATCTTTGTACGAAATTTGAGATTTTTAAATTGAGAGAAGTTTTGGTTTGCTCCTTAGAGTATAATTACATATATATTACTCTGAGATTTGCACAATTAATGCACCTATTGATTGATTAAAATAAAATTTTTGTTTGTAGGCCGTTAGTCGAGATTGTGTATATAAAGATTTCTTGTGAGTTGTTGATATTGACTATATATTAATTAATATATGGAAAATTTTTGCATGATGCGTGATCACAATCAAAACTAAGTGTAATGCGCAAACAAAAAGCTCAAAAACATCTTATATAACTTTCCGCAGTTTTCCTTTAATATAACAAGAAAAACTTATGACAATATTGTGGTATAAGTTTTTAAACATTTTGAATTTATTGACCATTATTTGTACGGATTATAACTATATTGACTCAAATTTTATTTGTTTCAGATCATTTATTTGAGTTAAGTTTTCAGCATGAGAATTTTACAAATTTAAATTTATTTTAATTAATCTGTAAAGAATACCTTTCTGAAAATAACGTAATAAAATTAAATATAAAATTACATATAAATAACATGCGTGGAAATATTATGGGCAAAAGCAATATAAAACATCCATAATAATGTATAGTTTACAAAATAATCTATCTTCCAGAAAATTACACAACTATACCTATAGTTTTTTTTATTACATACATAAACACTGACGCCTGTCACCCAGAGGGGTAGGCAGAGACTACAGACTTCCATTTAGCACGATCCTAACACACCTACCTGTCTCGCCTCCTTCACATCCATACACCTACGCATACATGCTCGTCGGTTAAGGGTACTCCTAATTTGGCCCGTTTTTAATAAATCGCCAATTTGGTCGATAAATTTTCACCTAGGACATCCCTTTCCGACTCAGCCATTCACTTCTGCAACATAAATTTTCTTTGTCACTCTTTCCTCATTCGTTCTTTCCACATGACCAAACCACCGAAGCATTCCTTTCTTAATCCTGGTCACAACATCATCTTGCAAACCACACTCTTCTCTTATTACATTATTCTTATAACATAATTTTTTTATTCCACATGCTAATCTAAAATACATTCAAGAAGTTTTGGTGCAACCTCTCAAACGTATAGGAATTTACTTTAAATAAAAAGTTTTAAGTTACAGAATACAAAGGTTTATAAAAGAAAAGAAATTCCCGCGAAAAAAGTTTCACATGAGCGCCCACTGTGACGCTAGAAGTATACAGACGCATTTAATTTTTTTAGTTTGGCGATGGTGTTCTTCTCTCAGTAGAGTAATTGTGTTCTATGCGTAAGACGTAAGACGCACCATTACGACGAGTTACTGAGCAAATTGTTAAACATACTGAATATTAAAAATATAAGTATACTGAGTGAAAACGACGTTTCTTTAAAGACACATTACCATATATATATATGCATCCTGTTTTGGACGAAAAATGTGTGTGATTGGATAAAATGCTCCATTAAGTTATTTAACAACAGTTTGACCGGATACCAAGCCATACTATTTTGGTGTTATAAGCTTATAAGTCAACAAGTCTTTACAAAATGTTTTCTAATATACTTAACCACAGTTCCAGTGTCGATACATATTAAAGCTATAGTTTTTTTAATAATACCTATTTCACTCAACAGAATACTAATTTATGTAGAAAATCATGCAATTATTAAACATAACATGCACAAAATATTTATTTCAACAAGCTAAAAGTTATAACAGTAATTAAAAAATCCCACCTGCGTAAAAGGTTTATGGAAAAGAGAAAAGTTTTACAAACTTAAACACTTCCACAACTAAGGTGTATCAAAAAGTTTAAAGTTCGAGATTGGTTATTGTCACTTGATTATAGTAAAACAGAAAATATCCTGATATAATTTGTAAAAATGTTTGTAATTAATGTATGTCATATAAAATTATAAATGGCAATCTTTGTTTAAAACAATTATTTATTCATTAGAGGTTATAAATGAATAATATATATATATATATATATATATATATATAATATGAAATTATATAATAATATATTCTATATTTATTTTACATTTATATATATATTACAAATTACAATTTACAAACTAATTTTAACGTACCTATGATTATATAAAATATAAATTACTTTAGTCGTTTTAAGTTACAGTCTATGTTTAGTTGTAAATAAATCAATTTAAATAGCTTTTTAGATATTAAAAATGTAATAAGCTTAGTAATTAATTAATTATTAATTAAATATTAGTTACTTAATTAATACTGTTGTCAGAACACTGGGGGAGGCTGCTGATCACTAAGATACAGACTCGTCTAGTTTGGGGATCAGTCTCCACTTTATTATTGTACTTTTGTTCAAATAAAAGATTATCATTATTATAATAAATGACACTCTATATGCTAAAATCCATCAAATCGTTAAGGCTACAGAGCGTGCCAAAAAGAGACAATGTACATTAAAAATATTAAATACCCTCCTTCTGGGTAAATTGACATCATATTTCTTTTGTTGTAAAATTGCATCACTTGGTGAAAATGATAGCAACATATGTATTCCCTATATGTAATGTAACTTACTAACTCTCCATTTATCTTTAGATCTTCAGAGTATGAAGATTCTTTTCCTCTGTAGGTATTTAGTTTGTAATCTTATCTTATTCGAGATTTATCTTACTTTGTTTCAAGCTGATTCCTATAATAGTTTTATACACCACTCCTTTTACTATTACGCAGGTATATATCAAAATTTTGAACAATTCAAAACTTTCCTATATATGCAAAATATATTTGCCAAATTAGGCCTATATGAGCTATCAGTAATTTTTGTTTGGTGCAGGAAACTTAAAAATCATTTGTAAGCAGTTGTTCCTTCTTCTTTTCTTTTTTTACAATACATATGTATACTACACAATTTAAATTGATATGATAGATGAAGATAAATGGGTATACATACATCATTTTATGTTTCTTATTTAAATATTTTTCTATGGCACAGAGACAGGCTTTTTCTGTCGATCCCGATGTCCGTAATTGTAACTCTTTGCAAATCCTACTATAAATACTGGTCGCCGATTTCACCATTGTACAATTAACATAAACTTGTTTAAAGCCATTTTTTATCTGAAATATAAATGGGAGAGAATTATTCATATGAACATTAGTAAAAAATGAAATTGGAACTGCTACCAATAAACATCTATATCACCTTTGGTAAATGTAAAATGTATGTTAAGCTTGCAGTCTTCCCAGTTCCAGGTTGGCCAGAGATGTATAAAGATGCAGATTCTTCAGAATCGAGATGGTCCATTAAAAAATTCTCAAGCCATGTTATTTCCTTTTCTCTACTTACTAAAGGTTTGAATGAATTGCTTATAATGGTATTCCTGTAAAAAGAATTTTACATCTTATATTCATCTTCCAAAGTAAGCTTATATAATATAAAGCATAGATGTTTAAAGAACTTGTAAAATTACTTAACACACGATCCACAACACAATTGTGATAAGCATGTTACCAGCAAAAGGTATCTTAATGATTTCTTATATTTACGCGAATACTACACATTGAAATAATACTAGTTTTTACGGAATTTATCGCGTATATTTAACTTTTTAAATACCCGACGTTTCGAACGCTTTACAGCACTCGTGGTCACGGGCAGGACTGAGATGTTCAACGTCCATATGTCATAGTTAACCGCGGTTACCATAGATTAAAATTTAACTTTTGTTCCGATCTATGCAGTATGAACTTATGGTATCTTGAAGTCTTGCAGTTGTATGCTTGGGTTGGGATTTAATTTTATTTATTATAGGATCCCAAGCAGATGGTAGCACCCAGCCATCTTCTCTATTGAAATTAGGATGTTTTTTGATTTCAATAGCCTCGCGAATCATCCTTGGAAGGAATCGGTGTTCTTTAGCGAGGATCTGCGGTCTATCAAATCTATATGATAAATTCCGTAAAAACTAGTATTATTTCAAAAGGTATCTTAGTGCTTGTCTAAGTAAAAACAAAGTAACAACTTATACATAACGTAATATTGTCACACAGCTAGGCAAAAAGACCTACCCTCCAAAGTTATACATCAAGAAGGATTCACTGTTCTATTCCAGTGCAAATGGGCATACTTTTTTTACATATCATAAGTCCACAATTCCACCGGCAGGTGCATGGTAATAAAGCCCTAGATGGTAAATCGCTCATCTTACCATAACAAAAGCCTATTCACTATTGTCTTGAAGATGCCCAAATTCTAATCGGACAGGAACAGCAGGGAACAACTAAATATTAAACAGTAACTTTGGTAACATTTTTATGTATATAGAAGCCATGCTGCAGCTATATTATGGTTGTAGCATGAATAGGTTGGCTCAACCGGGGAAGGACCACACTCTTACAGAATACCAGTGTGAAATGGCAGATTAATCCTGTTCTTTCATATAGTGAGTGTAAAGAATTGGAGGCACATTTTATGGGAAATCAGGCATTCCATCTTGGTTCTCAGGGTTGGCAGCACATTCTGCATTTTGATTCTGAATCGAGGATAGATGTAAAAGTATACAGGCCACAGCATGCACTTTCGATCAAATGGACTGTGCGCTTGTTTGTCACCCTTATTTTATTAAAAAACAATAAATGTTATATTTTACAAAAAACATTCCTACTTACCCATCATTTGAGTTTTCTTTATCAATATCATCCTCAGAGTTATCACATACTTTTACAGTTTTTGTTGGAGAACAGCCTGAAATACCGAAATGTATGATGTATTTTTATAATGTTATACCTATTAGATGGTTTTTTCTGTCATTGAAGTCACTAACAAACACAATGTTTTTTAAAATAAATGTATATTATATATATATATATATATATATATATATATATATATATATATATATATATATATATATATATATATATATATTATATATATAAAAAACCCTGTGGTTCCCGTTAACTGCATTATCAGAATCAGTATCTAAGCATATAGAAATAATTTTTTTTTCATAAAAACACATTTAAAAATTTTAATGAAAAAAAATTTATTTGCAAATTATATGTGGTTTTATTTCCTTTAAATCACACGAGTATCGGTAATGCAGGGTCTTCAACAATCCTCTTACCCCTCGGCCAATGCAGAGATAATAAAACCACATACAATTTGCAAATTAATTTTTTTTTCATTAATTATAAAATTAATGAATTTAATTTAATTGAAAATTAAGAATTTTAGAATTGAATTGAAAAAAAAAATTCTATACGGTTGGATACTGATTCTGGTAATGCAGTTAAGAGGAACCACAGGGTTTTTGTTACATATGTGGTATATAAAATCAATTGATGCCTGTTAGTCTCACTAAAACTCAAAAACGGCTTGCTTTTTGTGTGTATTTGAGTGGGTCCTTGGAGGCAGTGCTGTTGTCGAGATCAAGAAATCACCCATGCAAAGCCGGGCCGGATCGCTAGGCTATTATAAATTCACCATATGACCCAGTGTTTTAAGAATCAACTAATATGAATACTAAATAAAACTGACTGCAAACTAACATTCTTGGAAATTGCCTTAAATATCCTGATCAGTGAAGATAAACTGCATCTAAGCCAGGCATTACATAACTTATGTATTGGGACTGCTGCGACTGCCTGGTTGGTCTAGTGGTTGTAGTAGTGCGACTGTTAATCATGAGGTCCTGGGTTCGAATACCGATTCGGGCCAAAGAATAATTATTGAGTTTTTCCATCAAGAAATTCTCAGTAGCTGCCCGGAGTCAGGAAGTTGGCGGTGTCTCACCCCCGTGCCTCGGAAAGCATGTAAAGCCGTTGGTCCTGCGCCTGATCTCTCTCCGGTCGTGTCGGTTTACCGTCCCATTGAATTATGAGAGTGCACATGTGCCTGTGCATACACTTGGACACTATAACCCTGTCCTGCGCCGTTGGCTAGCCTCTGTTGAGGCAGGCCGCCGTGGCCGAAATTCGGTCTGGAGGAAATTATTATTGTTATTGGCACTGCTACAGACGTTGAAATATTTGGAAGGGGGATGCCCTTCCAAATATTTCAACGTTTGGATTTAAACAATAAATAATTAAATATGCCTTGTAAAGTTGACGCAAGAGAATTCATTACCCCCATATTATCCTGTGGGTGTATCAAAAGGCAACAGATTGAAATGAATCAGACAATCACTCAAAATAATAAAAACAATGTAGTTGCCAACACCATTGCCACAGTCTGCAGGTGTGTCGTAATGGCAACAATGGCAAATATCTCCACCATGTGGCAATCTATGGGGAAGGCTTATGGTGAATGATGAATGAGGATGAATTAAGTTTTTAAAATATAATCAGATAAGAATAGTATTTGAGTCAATTATACAAGATTTATAAAAGAAGAAAAGACTAAAGATTTAATAGGTCGGAGTATCTCCTATTTTCATCAGCTCATTAAAGTTCACTGCTAGTTTAGGGAGCAATTTTGGACATTTTCGGAAAGATTTCTATTATTGCTATTGGTGGGTGATTAATGATCTCAGATTTCTCAGATCTTTGATGCTGCTGCCTGTCACTGATATGAATATTTTAAGACAGACATGGGACAAAATTAGCTGATAGACACACTTGCAATATCAAACATAACAACAACAGCATCTATACCTATGCCTTTATAATATTTAAAATATATGCTCATACATTTCATTTATTCAGCCTGTCAAAAGTACACTGATGAACATTATCTCAAAGGGGATATTTGCCATAGTTGTCACACTTGGCAGGCGGATTGAAAACCAGTTTTTTTATTAATTTAAATAATTATCAGGAAGATGCTACTGCACACTTCCTGAAAACCTCACTCTTACTAATAATATATGTTGCTACCGAACTATCAATAAATTCACGACTCTAACAAAAATAAGATATTCATAAATGCAAACCATTGTCTATATCATTTTGCAGATCAATATCATTTTCATTTTTGTTGGATTTGCGTTTTCTTTTGTTTATATCTTTGGGACTATCATTCTTCACTTTCTTTGTATTAATATTTATTTTCTTGCGATGTTTGAAAGGAATGGAAGCTTGAACAGTAGACATCTAAAAAGAAAAAAAGAAGTATAGTCACATAATTAAAATATAATTTTAGTAGAATTAACAAACTGCTTTAATTTACCTGCAAACAAAATGTGTGATTTCTTGAGTTTAAGATTTTCAGGTTAAGAAAACAATGACATCAATTAAAAAAATGTTTATTATCTCAATAATATATCTGCATTATGCTTTGAATTCAACTTAATACAAGTTGTATAAATAGATACAATACTTTAACACAATTAAAATAAAATAGGTTGTATTAAAAATGTAGTTCATAAAAAAATTTCATAAATGGTATAAAATCCTATTAGCGTTTCTTTTATAGTTTGCAAAAATATCTTGACACCATTTCTCATATAAATTACTGTACTGATTAATTATATAAAACAGTTAACTTAAGACTCAAGTAAAGAAATTACATGAAATAAAATCTTAAAATATAATTACAAGTAGTTCCGTTTAAATAACAAAGCTATACATATTCAAGTTTATAAAGAAATCAAACACTGTACATTATAATTACTGTTTATCTTTGTTATTGAAGTCATTCTGGTTCTGATGAGCCATATTCGACATATTTTTAAATAAATCATATTGCCTTTGTGCTTTCAGCCATGCTGTTTGCATTTCCATTTGATGCCTTAGTAAATGTGTAATACCAGCATGTGCTGAAAGCAGTGGCGGTTGAGTTAAATAATCAGCTGAAGAATTGATACTGAGACTAGGTTTTATCGTTGGAGTTATAGGCTGACGAATACCAGGCACTTTTCCTGCATGAGCCAATGATTTTATTGGCTTAGAAGGCCCTGGAGAAGGTTTAAGTGATTCATTTTTATTTACATTTATATTTGACAACTGTGTACTTGTTATTTGATTTGATTGATTGATATTTTGTTCAAATGAATTATTACAAGATTGTTTCTCTTCTGCTATAACCAGCTTAGGAGATGAACTGGGAGAACGAGTTTGTGATCTTGGTGAAGGCTGTGCTGTAGTTGGAGAACTGTGAGCTGCGATAGGGTAGCCTGAATTTTGAATTGTTGTGCTTGAACCAGTTGATTGCTTCATCTGGTTAAGCTTGTTATTGCTTGAAATTTCTTGTCTAGCTGCTGATCCAGCAGCATTAATCTTCTCAAGTTTCATTTGGTTAATGCCACTAGTTGATGGAACTCTTAGCGGAGAAGTACCTGTGGCGGTAGGTCTATTTGATGTACTGGAAAACACATTACTTTGTGATGTACTCAAAGATAATGATTTTGATGGTAAACTTTGCTTTTTTGCTAGGTTAGCAATTGACTGCATTGTTTCAAATGCTTTTGTCTGTTGTGGGCCTAACTGACTTTGAATGGTGTGAGGAGTAGATAAATCGAGAGCAGCATTGGTCTTATTTTCTAAAGAAGGCATGTTATTTGAAACTGATTTGTTGCTTGGACTGCTGAGCTTGTTAACTGCACTAAATGCTTTAGGAGTTGCAGGTACAAGTTTCGGAACTTGGGTTTTATTTTTTGGTAATTTTGATTTTTTATCTGACTGCATAGACTGTAATTGCTGTTCAAAAGTCTGTTGAAAAGTAATGGGACCTGAAAATGATCCACTCTGCTTGCCCAATTTTGTGTCAGAAATAGGTTTAAGATTAGGTATGGGACCCTTGGTTGATACATCAGAAGATTTATTACCAGGCTTTGTTTGTACTGCACTTGCATCAGTTTTATTTATTGTACTAATTTTAGCATCATTATTGCTTTCAGATTTATTTATTTTCTTTGGATCAGTTTCGGGTAATTTTAGTATTTCAATATAATTATGAACTGGTGGACTTGGTACCTTGTGTGCAGATACATTACTTGCACTAGAGAGATTCTTATTTATCATAACTTTTTTTTGATCTGTAACAATTGATTCTGTAAGGCTTCGGTTCTCTAATTTTTGGTCCGTTAATGTAATAGACAATGAAGAAGGTATATTAATTTTACAAGAGTCAAACAATGATTTTAAAGGATCTCCAGATGTTTGATTTGTGTTAGCTAAAGATAGAGATGATTTTACTTGTGACAATATTTTACTTCTGTCTATAGTTGGGTCACTATTATTTGCTAAAAGATCCATACGTACTTTATTAACAGGTGGGACCTTTGTTTGAAAAGATGCTGAAGAAGCTATTGTACTTGGCTTTAAATCCGGCATCTTCTTAACACCAGATTTTAAAGCCTCAGGTTGCTTTGAACTAGATAACTGTGTATCTACTTTTGGTATTTGAAGTTTTAATGGAGAAACTGTTTTTGAACCTGTAGCTGGTTCAGCTGGAGTTGTTTCATTAGGCTTACGTTTAGGTGAAGATATACTTTGTGATCCAGAATTATTTCTCTTAAGACCTGAACTATCTGACCCTTGAGGTTTTGTTAAAGTCATTACTTGTTGCAATTTTTCTTTTGGTGGTATGGCTGTATTTATAGATGAGTTATTTGAAATTGAAGATGACTGAGGGTTTCCTATTGCTTCAGCATGATCTGTAATCTTTTCTATATTACTGGGAGATTTCTCAACTTTCACTGTATCTTTTGGTAATGGAACAGATGGTACTGATAATGAGGATGAGAAATCAGGTACTTTAGTTTTTTCTAATTCAATCTTCAACTTCTTAATTTCTGGTACATTTGGAGATATCTGGTGTTTTCTCTTTAAACAATCATCACCTTTGGGTAAGGAATTTTTTAATGAACTTTCTAATGTATTTATAGGCTCTGCTGTAATACTTTTAGTAGGGGAAGTCTTCACATTAAGACTACTATTTTTAGCTGTTAATTCAAAGGAAATAAGAAATTGTGATTTTTCAACCTCATCATCATTTTTCTTCGTTGGAGATGTGCAAAGGGGTTTGTTAGTACTAGGAGTGTCAAGAAGATTGACATCTTTTACCTGATCGCATACACTACTCTTGTTTACTGTTTCTATTGTCTTTTTTGTACTACTGTCATCAGGCATTGGACTATCGGTACCAGAAGAGGCTTCCGATCCTTGCTCGTTTATGTTTGGTGCAGGGCTGCTGATAGTTGTATCCTCTGTGGATGTAGGACTTGGTTTACTGTCAGGAAAATGGGTACTTTTTCTATTAATATCAAATAACCTATTGCGAATAGCTACATAATCAATAATTTGATAAAAGAAACGCATAGGCTCATTCCTTTTCCAGTTGTATATATAAGCTATATCCATTAATGTATAATAATCTGGTAAAGGTACTCTTTTGTATAGAATATCAATAGCAAATTGGGTACTATCTATATCAAATTTCATACTAAGAAATTTTTTGAGATGGCTTATGTTCACTACAGCAGGACATTGCAAATATCGCCTTGTTGATGCTAAGATATTTTGGGGTTCATTACTATCAGATGATTTACTAGATATGCTATCAGCATCAGTAATATCGGCATATTCCAATGAAAAAGATATAACATCTTCAGGACTAAATATAATTCTTTCTGTGTCTTCACCACGTTGTTCAGGAGTAGCCGAAGCAGCTGGACCAGGTCTTGAAGCATAAAACTGTTGTCTTCGTTCCATTTCCTTTTGAAAGAGACCAGGAACTAATTTATAAACAATATCTTGAAGTGCTTTGTCCAATTTTATATTTGGCTTTGCCGAATTTATCATCATTTCACAAACTGGGCAATAACTTTTTACTTGTAAATGCTTAATAATGCAACTTCGACAGAACGAATGTAAACATTCCACTATTGTGGTCGCATCAATATAGTAACCTCGACATAAAGTACATGTTATGTGTTCATTAACTTCTCCTAATAACGTTCGTTGAGGAACCACAGCATTACTGTTGTGTTCTGCCATGTTCACAATCTTTTTGTCGGAAACCTTATTAGAGGTAACCATTTTTAACAACTAGTTCATTCAACGACAATCAAAAACACGTAATGTAATTATCAGCATCGCTTACGAAATACACAGTTTTAAAATTTAGTAATAATGTTTACAATACACCACACACTTCAAAGAATCAATATAATATTTTCAAATGTAAAATCGGCAGCAGCTCACAGTCGAGTCGACATGATGCGTTTTTGTTAAGTTGGTAACACTGTATTATTCCAAAATAATATAATGTACCTATTTCTAAAGAAAAACGTATCTAAATAATTTACAACTTAACATTAATAACACAATAAAAATAACCTGAACGGTTTATGCATTTACTTACCATGTTAATTGTAGACTTAAACTGGATGTAAATTAGTAAAAGAATAAATTATTTTATGTATATAATTTTGGCGCGAATGGCGCGAATATTACAAGACGTCACGAACACCTGCTTATGTCAAATAAGATATATCTTTTTTTTAAACGTGACCATGAGCATGGCTACCGAGTCCTTCGGTCGAAAACCGAAATATTAAAAGTGTAGCCTATTATTACTACGTATTACAATTATGATACTATATAAGTGTATTGTATTAAAAACATTTGCACAACAATAATAAATGAGATGATAATATGTCAAGCTGCTCAAAAGTTAAAGTTACAGCCTATATAACTAAGTATATACTATATACGTCCCACTCTTGAGCTCAGACTTCCTCTGATTTCTGAAAGGGAAACATAAGCAAAGAAATGTCTACAGAGCTACCATAAAGCATTTTGGCGGACTTCACATGATTTCGATGTTTTTATGGATTCTTCAGACATTTAGGTTTCTTCACGATTTCCTTCATACGCCAAGCACATAGCACAGCACTTAAGACATGAACACACGTTTACTAACTGTAGACAAACCTATATGGACAACTTCAACAGTGGTAGAGCCACGCGGCACGTATGTCAAACCGGGGTGGTACCCCGACCTCACAGAATACCGCGGCGTGAAGTGGAAGCTTCCTCGTTTCAACTGGTGAGTGCAGGTGGCCGGAGGCCCAAATCCCCCCCCCCCAACATGGTAGCGGAATTAAATGATGATAGACTACCCCAGGAGGGTACCAGCACCCCTGGAGAATCCCTAGCTGAGCATCCACGACCATGTTTCTCCACTTCTGAGCGTGGGTGCTCAGGCTGCCCCGCGTATTCTGGGGGGGGGGGGGGCAAATTCCGCTAGAGGCTACAACTGCTCGGGGCAAACGGAGCAACAAGACCAAGGTGACCCCTGCACGCTGTCCGTGAATTTCTGCAATATCAGGGGATAAACGCCGTCCACTACCATCTCGAGACGGCAAGGCCGGCTCTGCTCTTTCTGACCGAGACGCAGGTGTCCTCTCCGGCTGATGTCTCGTATCTCTCCTACCCGGGGCCGGGGTACAAAGTGGAACACTCCTTCCTGCCTCGGGCTGGAGTTTGGGTTTACGTCAGAGAGGACATCTGTTCTCGACGCCTCGGCAGACTTGAAGGTTCGGACCTGTCCATCCTTTGGCTACGCGTAGACAGCGACGACCATCCGCGTGTCTAGGGGTGCCTCAATAGGTTTCATAGCGCTAATGCCGCAACAGACCGACTCTTCGACCACGTCCAAATAGCTACAGATTCGTTGCTACAGCAGATCCCCTCCGCAGAGATCGTGATCCTCGGTGACTTTAACGCCCATCACGCCGAATGGCTTGGTTTACGTTTAACCGATCATGCGGGGAGATCTGTTCATGATTTTGCCTTGTCATATGGTCTGACACAACTGGTTACTTCGCCTAAGCGGATTCCAGATGTGGAGGATCATGCACCTTCCCTGTTGGACCTTCTGTTGACCTCTCACCCGGACGGATATCAGATTTCCGTCGACGACCCTTTAGGCTCCTCGGACCATTGTCTTGTCCGGAATGTGGTGCCACTCACGCTGAAATCGCATTTGCATTCTGCAGGCTGCCGCCGTGTTTGGCACTATAGGTCAGCCGATTGGGATGGGATGCGGTCTTTCTTTGCATCTTACCCTTGGGGGCGGATTTTCTCGCCGGACGATCCCAACGTTATTGCGGATTCTGTCGCCGATGTGGTACTTCAGGGTATGGAACTTTTTATTCCTTCCTCTGTGGTGCCCATTAGAGGCAAGTCCCAGCCATGGTTTGGTCGCTCCTGTAAAATAGCATCAAGCTATAAGCAGGGGTGCTACCAAGCCTGGGCTGACGCATCAGCGTCCCGGGACGTAAACACCATCGCTCTAAAAAAGAAGTATAATTCCGCCTCTAGGTCCTTCAAAAGAGTCATTGCCAAGGCATAGTCAGAGCACATAGGCAGAATTGGCGAGAAACTAGTTCGCCTTCCTTCTGGAACCCGTGCATTCTAGTCTCTCGCCAAGGCTGTCCAGGGGAATTTCTGTCAGCCATCACTTCCATCTCTGCACAGGGAGGACGACTCACTGGCCCATACCGCAAAGGAGAAAGCCGATCTTCTAGGCTCTTTCTTTGCGTCCAACTCGACTCTCGATGACGGGGGGAGTACGCTGCCGACCATCCCGCGGTGTGAGTGCTCCATGCCGGAAGTGCTGTTCACACAGCGCTCGGTTCGCAAAGCACTCCTCTCCCTGGACATCCACAAGTCGAGTGGGCCTGACGGAATCCCCCCAATTGTGCTGAGGACGTGTGCTCCAGAGTTGGCACCGGTTTTAACGCGTCTTTTCCGGTACTCCTACTCCCTAGGCGTAGTCCCAAAATCCCAAAAAAAAGAAGATGACTTTCGTCCACCCGATCCCTAAAAAAGGCGACCGCTCAGACCCGTCCAACTACCGGCCTATCGCCATCACCTCCTTGTTTATTTATTTATTTATTTTATTCTTTATTGCACCAATGATTTTGTACAAAAGGCGAGCTTAATGCTATATGGCATTCTCTACCAGCTAACCTTGGGTAGAAAAGAGAGTGAGTTATGGGCAGTAAAGATGTCATGATCTCATTCAATTCAAAATGTACATGCTACACATACATATAATATATATATACACATATATATTATATACACTTACACACACATACATATGTATATACATATATATATACATATATACATACACATATACATATATAAATATATATCTCCATAAATTTATATACAAATAACTATAAACATATAAAGTAAGTGGACTCAAATTTGTTGGTTACGGATATATTCGTATAGTTTTCTTTTAAACACGTTTTTAGCAGGTATTATGCGCAGGTCAACAGGCAATTTGTTCCAGAGGGAGATGGAAGTTAATGTGAAAGAATTTGACATAAACCCAGAATGGTGGAGAGGAGTAGACAGTAATAAATTGTGTGAAGACCGGAGATTGAGAGAATGAGTGTCACTACGGAATTGGAATCTTTCTTTTAGGTAAAGGGGTGAGGAAGAATCATTAAGAACTGAAAACAGAGAGGACAGCATTCGAAAATCTCTGCGCTGGCGTATAGTCAACCACTTTAATTGGGGGCGAAATTCTGATACATGATCGTATTTGCGCAACCAAAGATGAATCGTATGCAGTTGTAGTGTACCTGAGAGATATTAGAAAGACAAACATCGGCATAGTCAAATAATGGAAGAATTAGAGATTGGATGAGTAGAAGCTTAGTTGAAGGAGGCAGAAAGAACTTAAGACGATAGATGGAACGAAGTATGCCTGTGACTTTACGACAAATCTCGGACACCTATAACCTCCAACTAAGGGTCGGGTCAATAATTAAACCCAGATCCTTGACACTAGTGCAGAAAGGAATTACACAGTTTTCATAGCAAATAGATGGTAGATCAGGTATGTTAAGTTGTGACACCAATCGACGACTACCAATGATAATAGCCTGGCATTTACTGGGATTTACCGTTATACCAAATCGCTGTGACCAGTCTGAAATGCGTTGTAAGTCCTGATTAATAGCTGCAATAGCGGTAGCAATTTCAACCGAGGACGCTTGTGAGTATAACTGAAGATCGTCAGCGTATAGGTGGTAAGAACATTGAAGGTGGGTAGTTAGAAGATTGATAAACAACGAAAACAAGAGAGGAGAGAGAATGCCGCCTTGCGGTACACCTACATATAGATCGCACCAGTCGGAAAAATCCTGACCAGCCCGAACAGCCTGCTGGCGACCGCGAAGATAAGAGGAAAACCAGTTCAGTACTGACGGGGAGAATTTTAGGCGTGAGAGTAATCCAAGGAGTAAGTCGTGATCGACACAATTAAATGCGTTTGAAAAGTCAATAAGGACCTTAACAGTCAAACATGACCTCTCCATGCCCTCTCTAAAATCTTCTGTAACTTGAAGTAAAGCTGTGATGGTACTATGTCCCGGGCGGAAGCCAGATTGATATGTACTAAGGTAGTTGCATTTCGAAATGAAAGAGGTGACTTGTTTATGTACCAATGATTCAAGGGCTTTGGAAAGAAACGGCAGTATAGAAATAGGTCTAAAATGGGAGGGTAGGGATGGATTGGGTACCTTCGCAAGAGGCAAGATAAAAGCTTTTAGTCATAACTTAGGGAAAATACCAGTAGAGAGGGAGAAATTGATGATGTGAGTGAGAACTGGAGTAACAATATCGAGTATGAGAAGTATCATAGGTCTACTCACCTCATCATATCCGGTTGCGGAAGATTTTATTGAAAGTATGGCTTTTCTAGTATCATCGTCAGTCACTGAACTGAAGTCGAAAGAATTACATGATAACAAAGGCATGGAATTAAGTTCCTGGAG